GCAACATAATAGAACATCACAGAAATGAAACCGAGTTGATTCAGTCTCGTAAAGTCATGACTTAGCTCAAGATATTACTTTGCGAAGTCAAGATATTCTAGTCTTACAATTGGTCTGTCCATGTCAGCATGTCTCTTTTGAGATAAGTTGTTTATCTATTTTTTCCATTTTTTCTTATTTTTTTTTGTTTTAAAATATAAAATAGTAATCATTGTTTATCTTGATTAGATTAATGAAGTCTCTTATTTTAATGCATGTTATTATTACATTTAAAAAAGATATTTAAGAGAGAAAGAGAGAGAGAGAGAGAGAAAGAGAGAGAGAGAGAGAGAGAGAGAGACCTTTGGATTTTTCAAGGCCTCTTATTTTAATGCATGTTATTATTACATTTAAAAGAGAGAGAATAGTAATAATATAAATAGGTTGAGGTTAAACAATCAAAAAATTATTAATTTAAAAATCTACTAAACTTTCACTAAAAATAAATATTAACAAAACTTAGTAAATATTAAAAATGGGTTTTAATTTTACTTAAAAATCAAACTTAATAAAAACTAATTTATAAGAAATTTAAGTATAAAAATATTAATTGATAGTTTTAAACTTTTAATAATATTATTAGATAACTTATGAGTAGAGACATTTATTGTGCATAATGAACTCATTAAAAATGATAAGAATTAATAAAAATTTAAAATACAAAACCCATTTTATTAACAATATTTTATTGCAAAAGTTACTGAATAATAATGAAAAAATAACAGAAATTAATTAAAAATAAGAAACTTAAATATAAAAATATCAATTGATAGTTTTAATAATATTATTAGATAACTTTGTATTAATGCATTTTTAATTAATTAATAATTTTTATGAGTTGAGACCTTTATTGTGCATAATGAACTCATCAAAAATGATAAAAATTAATGAATATTTAAAAATTTAGAACATGTTTTATTAGCATTATTTTACTACAAAATTACTCATATGCAAAAATTACTGAATAATAATGAAAAAATACCAACAATTAATTAAAAATCTGCAAAATTCTGAAAAATCTAAACATAATTAAAATACTAAAAGTAATTAAAAAATATTGAAAAATTAACAATGTTTTATATAGATAAGGGTATTTACTAAAAATAATTAAAAAGTACAATTAATTGTATTTTATTATTAAAAAACACCAAAAAATATTAAAAAACTACTCAAGCCAAAAATTATTGAAAAATATTGAAAATTAGTTGTATTTTTTATTAACTATGGTATTTATTTAGTTATTTAATTTATTTTTACTGAAAGAAAATGCAAATTAATTTTGTAGTGACTAATATGCAAAAATAAATGCTGAAAATATTAACATTATTGAAAAATACTCATATGCAAAAATTACTGAAAATAATGAAAAAGCACCAAAAATGAATTAAGAATCCAAAAATTCTGAAAAACCTAAAGCTTAACTAAAATAATAAAAATAATTAAAAAAAATTAAATTAATTGTATTTTACTGCAAAAAATACTGAATAATAATGAAAAAATAATGCATTTTAATTATTAATAGTAATATAATTAACAATAACTATTTTTGAATAGTAATTAATAGTAATTATAATTTAACCTATAAATAGTAGAAAATTACATTTAATTACCAAAAAGTTATATTTAATTACCAAAAAATTACATTTAATTAGTTTTAGCCAAGAAATTACCAATATTTCTGAAAATATGATAATTTCCAGAAATTATTGTATTTTAAATAAACACAATAATTTAATAATTATAATATTTTAATAGATAACAATATTTTAATAGTTAATAAAAAGTAACAAATCATTTATAACTTAAGCAACTATAAAATCTATAAATTTGCAGGTTCAAGCAACTATTTTCTTTTGAGTTAGGTCTAGTTGAGATATGCACCATGCCCACACATTATCAGGGATAATCAGATTCGAAGTCTAATTGGGTATCAAACTTTTGGAGTCCAATGATGGCTTTAGCGGATAGAAACCAAGCTAAATAACCCCTAATAAGCTCAACTTGGAAGTTATATGCATATATGGTTAATATTATTATATAATATTTAAATAACAAATTTTATATTAATATATATAGAAATGTTAAAACATTCTTTATACTAGACTAGAATTAAATAAAAATTCTAATTTGTAAAAAATCATAGTTTCATAATTAATACGAACCTCTTTATCAATAGAAAATGTGCAATCACGAGCCCAAACCCAACCCTTATTTAAAGCCCGAAGCTCAATCTGTACAAAAAAATGTCTTATTTTCAGTATACTTTTATAAACTAATATTATATTAATTTAGTAATAATTTAATAAATTAATAAACTAATTTATATTTCCTAATAGTAAACTGATATTTATTACTAATTTAAGAAGCATATATATATATATATTATTTATTATATATTACATAAGTACTTTTTATATATGTAATAGTATTAGGCCGAGTTTAATTGAGAAAATTCGAGCTCGAGCCCACAGGCCTGAAATTTTGTCCAAGCCTGAAAAATAACGGGTCAGGCCGGGTCGGGCCATCGGGCTACTTGCCCCATGAATAGGTTTAATTGTATATATCAAAAATCATATGAAATAAAAATTTAAACATCTTTTTCAATTTTTTTAAAGATGGAACTCTCATAGCTTGGCCCGGTCTGGCCCAAGGCTCGGCCCATGACACGACACGGGCCCGTGCTAAACAAACCCCCCAAATTATCTCAGGGGAGGGAGGCACGACCCAAGGCACCCCATGGGCCAGCACGGCATGGCCCACACTTTGTGYAGGCCACATAAGGGTTGTGCCATGCCGGCCCAGCATGACCCGATTTACACCTCTACTTGAACCCACCCAATACTAGGGATGGGGCGAAAAAATTCGAGGATTCCCTATCCTTGATAAGGAATGGGGTGCCTTGCCCCTAAACTCGCCTGACATTGGGGAGTGGTTGCCTTGCCTTGAACCCACCTAACATTGAGGACGGGGCAGGGATGGAGTAGAGTGTCTTAACTATGAGGTAAGGATAGAGATGGGGTGCCCTGCCCTGAACCCACTTTGTTGTCATTCCTATATAATTGTTAATTATTAGTGAAATTAATAAAAATATTAGATTTTGTAATTATTTTTATTTATTTATAGTTAATCAAAATTTCATTTAAAAATAATAACAATTATTAAAAAYGATTAATTAATAAATACTGTAATTAATAATACTACAATTACTGAAAACACTACAAAATATGGTTAATTATTAATATTGTAATTATTAAAAAGTACTATATTAATTAATAAGTTAGTATTTTAATAAATACTTTTAATTAATTAATATTACTGTAATTATTAAAAGTACTATATTAATTAATAAATTAGTATTTTAATAAATACTTTTAATTAATTAATATTACTGTAATTATTAAAAATACTGTATTAATTAAAATCATAGTTAATGCTATTAATTAATAAAATACTATAATTGTTAATACTGTTTTTAATAAATACGGATAATTATTTAAAGATACTATGATTATTAAAAATACTATTAATTAATAAATACATTATTTTTAATAAATATGGTTAATATTGTTAACTAATAAAATACCATTAATTATTAAAAATATTGTAATTATTATTAATACTGTAAATTTTAAAATACAGTAATTATTATTACTACTCTCTCTCTCTTTTAAATGTATTTTTTAAATGTAATAATAACATGCATTAAAATAAGGGACCTTGGAAAATCCAAATGTCTCTCGCTTTAATAGTGTGTAGTTTTATTAATCTAGTCAAAATGAACAATGATAACTTTCTTATATTCTTAAAACAAAAGAAAATAGACAAAATGAAAAACATAAATAAATAACTTCTCTAAAAAGAGAGACATCATGAACTGTCCAATCAACCTGCCTGAACCCCACTAACCTGACTTGATTCAACCTGAATTGTGTTGAGCTATGCCCTGGCCCCACCATGTATCAGGAACATCTTCTGTACTTGTGTGTTTTTATTCATAGGAGATGTTTTCAGTGCATGGTCGGATGTGCCTGTGAGGTCAATGTGAGATGCACTTTGTTGAGGAACAGATCATCATGTGGCTCTGGCCCCATGCATCCGAAACCCTTTCCCGTAGCTTGACCTACGTATTCTAGTTAACTATTTATTACCAATAATTTAATTCAACCCTTTAGAAAACAATTAAGATGCATTTATATACTTCTTAGTTCAAATTATATGCAGAATCGCACACTTGGTAAAACAATTCAGTTCATTTCTTCATTTCAAATTTACACCTTTATTTCGAAAATGAGCCCGTTGTTTCAAAATTAATTCTTGGTTTCAATTGAGTTGATTTTTTTCGCTTCAAATTCGCACTGAAACATACACAGCTGACATAAAGCAATGCAGCCTTGGTCACCATAGTCAGAAACTTTTTCCAACAAAATACGTATCGTGATTTAATAGTTCCTTTCTGAACATTTATCACCCCACATAGAAACCTGAAAATCAATCAGTTTATACAATAGCATTTATGAGAATTGTGCTGCTCATTTTATGATTAGTCATACATGATTACATGCCCTCACCCATTATAGCTCATTTTCAGAAATCATCTCACTTCACTTAACCAGTTATATTATATCATCTCCCTTTCCAGCAAACAACTTTGCAAATAAAATTTCAAAGCGACTTACAAAAATCCATTCCATTTCATATCTATTTCCAAAATAAATAACTCCAAGTCCATTTAGTTTCTGCAAAAATATGCTAGCTCTACCCCTACATGTTAATTTTAGTTTCAAATGCTATTTCAGTCTAAAATTATTCGTTTTTGTTACATTCCAGTGCCACAACAAATAGTTCGATATTTTATCACACATTTATCCTCTCTCCCAGAATACTTTTCAGGTGAACATATTTTAAGCAAATAGCAGCTTTTTTTAATGAAGCAACTTTATGGCATTTCCACGTGAAACATATTTTAACCAAATCAGCTTCTAGCTGATTTCAATGCTCCCTCTATAAAAGTTTTCAGTCTAACATTTAACTACAGTTTCAACATTTTATCCCAATACGTCAGCACTCTAAATATTAATTTTCAACAGCAAACGAAAAAAAAAAAAAACCCTTTGGAATCTCACTACAAAATCATTTCAGTAATGGTGTTTCATGATATGGGAATAAAAACATACAGGCAGTCAAACCAGAGAACATGCATGGAAGTTGCACCTAGAGGGGCTCTACTAGAAGTTGATGGGAGATTTGAGCAGAATCTGCAACTGAGAATTCTACAAAAGGAAATGATTATCTGCTAGTCTTCATATTTCCATAACATGGTGGAACCAGGCATCAAAATCCCGGAAAAGATTAAGCAGAAGCAAAAGGAGAAAGGCTTGCTGCTGACTCATTGCAATGTTCCAGATAGTGATGGTGGCTGGATGGCTCAACAAAACTTGCTAGGCATTGCTCGAACTTGGAACATATGGTGATGTGTATCTTGAGTTGAGAGGTAATAAAGAACGGTAGCCCAAGGAGTGAAATGAAACTAGACGAGAGGCATAAGATCTTTGGGAAGATACATTCCTGAGGTCTACAGAGCTTCTGCTTAAACTGATGGAAGGAGAGTTGCCACAAGACATGAAAGACTCATCTATATGAGGAATAGCAGAGAGGGAGTAAAAGCGTGAAACAGATGGAGACTGTGATGGTGTTGAAGCCATAGCTAAAGATGATACAAATGACGATCTGGCAGATGAAAATCTAGCAGAGGATGTGACAGAAGCTGCACTTGATGAAAGCAATGGAGTGCACTCAGAGGCTGGAGGATCGCCTGAGCTTGTCCTAGCATCACGCTTGCAGACTGGGCAAAATGTCCGCCACGTAGTGAGCCAAGAATCAATGCAAAAGGCATGGAACTCTGTTGAAATTCCAAGAGTACGGAGTTTGTTAGATATAAATAATAATGAAAAATATATAGTAAAGGCTTTGAATTCTCCAGTATAGCAGGTATTGACAATTAGAATAAGGTACATCTTCAAGCAGAAAATCTGTTTTCAGTAACATATTTCATTGAACAATTTTAAGTATTAATTCTATGCAGCCACACATCAGCCACAACTATATATGAGCCAAAGTAGCTCATGTGTCCATGAAACCGAAAGGTTCTACCATAGTTGTCAAGGCATCACCTAGGCATTGACTAGGTGACTAGGTGCCCTTGGCTGGAAAAAAAACTTGGTCTGTTGTAAGAGTGGACCATCATCCTAAGAGGTTGGGAAAAAACTTGGTCATTTCTTTTTGGGAGGAGAGGCGTTTGCCAGAAGAGATATTGAAGAGTTTGAGAGTAGGAGGGAGGAGAATCTGAGGAAGGTTATTGTAGGGGGAGGAGAGGCTTGGAATGAAGCAGAATATGGGAGTGATGATGGGTATATGGAGTAATGATGGCTGGCCCATTTCTTGCCTTTTGTTTTTGTTGTGTTTGTTGTTTTGGGGTCTAGGTGGAAGGGGGTGTTGGGTGTTATGTTTTGAAGGGTCTCTTTGTAGGTTGTTTGTTTTTGAGTCATGCTTTTGTTGAGGTTTCCTCTTCTTTGTTGGTGACTGCTTGTCACCTCTCTCTTGTTCACTTTTTTTCTTCTTTAATAATTTCTTTTATTATCAAAATAAAAAATAGTATGCATGGAATAGTCAGAGGGTACATACTATGATGACATGGTAGCACTCTAAGTTTCTCGCCAACACTGTAATCTTCAAGGCATATGGCACAAGTTCTTGAAGTGCAGTTATCTTCTGACACTGTTGTGAATATCAAGCTCGGCATTGCTTGCACTAAATGACTACTCATGCCATGGAATTCCCGAACACGAGGAGCATGAGGTCTTTCTCGTCTTACATGGTGTCTACGAATGAAGAAACAAGTGGCAAGCACAATAGACATGGCCAGTAAGGAAACAAAACAGATGACCTTGATAGACCATGCTGAGTTTTCAAATGTTGGAATGATCCAAAGCTCCATGTTGGAAGAACCAGCATACTTCTTTAGTGCTTCACCTGCAACCTTGGAGATGAACACAGCATGTATTTCAATACCTGATGCATTTCCTGCCACTGTGATTTCAACAATAATGGATTAGGAGCTAAGATTCCATGTCACATATATGCAGGCATCAATCATTTAAAAGGAAAGAAAATAACTAGCTACTTCATGAAAACTAACAAAGTATAATATAATACAAGAAAAAAATAAAAATGGCATTAGAAGTGTTGATTCCTCACAAGAATGTAATAAGAAAAGTAAGAAGGAAGAACACAGCAATAAGAAGAGAGGAAAATTGTCTCTCCAGCCCCCCTTAATCTCTTTTATTAATTTTGTAACTAACAACTATTGTAATTACATGGATACACTTTATAGGGCAGTTGACTCATTAAACATAAATAAGAAAGAATAGGAGGTCCATATACTTAAGGCTGACTAACAATAAAAGACGGCTAATAACAGAAAAAATAATAAAAGAAGATTAAGGTTCATTCAGCCCGATATCTCGACTCTCCCCCTCAAGCTAAGCATAGATATCAATCATGCCCAGCTTGCTTATATCATGCTGTAAGACAGGCCTTGGAACTCCCTTGGTCAAAACATATGCTAATTATTCCTCAAAGGCAATAAATGAAAGACATACTTCTCCTGAAGTTACTCTTTCCCATATGAATGTCTATTCACCTCAATGTTCTTTGTCCTGTCATGCTAAACTGGATTGTGAGCAATGATGATATTTGCTTGATTGTCATAATATAACACCATGGGCTTATCATAGACAATGTCTAGCTCTTGTAGGAGAGTCCATGGTCCATCGCTCTGTATTCTGTCTCAGCTAATGATCTAGCCACTAAAGATTGTTTCTACTCCAAGAAACAATGTTCCTTGCAACCATAGCATATTAACCAGATGTAGACCTCCTATCATCAATGCAACCAGCTTAATCAGTGTTTATGTAGGCTTAACTTCTCGTGACCATGTTGGGCAAAGAGAATGCCTATTCTTGGGATATCTTTCAAGTAGCACAAAACCCATTCTGTTGTAGCCATATGTATGCCTCTGGGAGCATACATGAGCTGATTGATTACATTGACAACATAAGATATATCATGGTGAGTCATGTAAAGATACAAGAACTTCTCAAGTAACCTCTGAAACACTTCCCTATCAACAGGCAACTCACCATTTGTGGTTGACAATTTATGATTCAAGTCAATAGGGTTAGATGTAGGTTTAACCCCAAGCTTCCCCGTTTTAGTGAGGAGGTCAATTATATATTTGCATTGGGAAGATTAAGATGCCTTTCTTAAATTGAGCAACTTCAATTCCCAAGAAATATCTTAGTTCATCCAAGTCCTTGACTTCAAACTCAATGTTGAGAAAGCCTTTCAAACTACTTCTTGTACACATCATTGCCAGTGACTATAATGTCATCAACATACACAATAAGGAATGTCATCAAGGTATCTCTCCTCTTAACAAAGAGGGCATGATCAAGCTGATTCTAGGTATAATAACATAAAATGACCAGTGCAGCCCCAAATCTCTCAAACCATGCTCGAGGAGACTGCTTTAGAACATAGAGACTTCTTTAGTTTGCATACCTTCCCTTTTGTCTCCTTCCCATATATCCCACGAGAAAGGGACATATACACTTCATGGAGATGTCCATCCAAGAAGGCATTCTTCACATCAAATTAATAGAGACCAAACAAAGCATGCTACTAAGAATAAAAGAACCTGAAATGAAGTCATCTTAGCTACAAGAGCAAAAGTCTCCAGATAATCTACGCCATACATCTGTGCACAGACCTTAGCAACCAAACGAGCCTTGAACCACTCAATAGAACCATTGGCATATTATTTGATAGTATAGACCCATTTATACCCAACGGATTCCTTCCCCTTGGGAAAATCAACAATATCCCAACCTCCCCAAGAATTATTATTATTATATGTAGAAATATTGGGCTAGATGGGCCATGATTAATTCAGCTTATGTTTATTGTTTTCTTTTTTATTAATGGGCCTTTAGTTTCATGGGCCTGTCAACTCTTTTTCTTTAAGTGTTAGGAGCAGCTTCCCATTAAGGGTGTTGATGTAATTACATTGGTTTAAACTTAAATAAAAGTTTTTGGGGGCTAGAGAAAGAGTACGATTGACTCTTCTCCTCCTTTTCTTCTTGGTATCAAGGCATACAACTACCTTTTTTTTCATTTCTTTTTAATCCCACACACGTTGTGTATGGAGAACTAAATGGATAATTGATTAAAGAAGATAATCAGCCTAGGTGGTAAAGAATTTCAAGAGAAAAGAGGTGATCAGAAAGGTGCCCAAGACATTTCTTGGAGTTCTTGCTCGAAACCCTAACAACTAGAGATTTTTGAATTAAGGGTCCAACCTGGCACTCAAGGCTTGAAGGATTCCTTTTGATTCACATAGAGATCAATTCAAGTTGAACCAAATTCTGGAAGTCCCACAAGGAGCTGTTGGGCCTTTCCTATTTTCTCCTGAGTTGTCGGGTACTGTGAAATCACAGTTTGGGGATCCTATTGAGGTCAGTGTCAATTGTTATCTTTTTCAGTCATTCTTACTTGTTGTTTGAAAATTGTTTCTTGAATTTAAAGAAATAATGGAGCACTCTGAAGTAGAAATCAAACATAGCTCAAAGTCTGGATAGGCTCCAAGAGCTTCTGTTGATTTTTTGTTAGTTGTGACCATAGTGAAATTTGATGGAACAAATTATTTGGCTTGGTCACAGTCAATGAGAATATATGTTTGTAGTAGAGGAAATTGGGGATATATCTCCAGTAGTAAGAAGGAACCTAAGGAAGATGATCCCTCCCACAAGAAGTAGATGCAAGAAAACTATATTGTTATTGGTTGGTTGGTGAATTCAATGTAGCCTCATATCACCCAACATTAATTGTGGGTAAACTCTGTAAAGGAGATTTTGGATAGTGTCGTAGAGACATATTCCCAGAAATTGAATGTGTTTAGAGCATATAAGTTGAAAAATGATGTGAATAATTTATGACAAGGGGGAGAAACCATTTGTAGTTTATTCTTCAATGCTGAAATATCTACGGTAAGAGATTGATTTGATGGAGATAATTGTTTGGGAGAGTAAAAAAGATGTTGAAACATATAGAAAACTTGTAGAAAGAAACAAGGTGTTTGAATTTCTTACAGGGTTGAATTCAGAATATGACATTACTAGAAAGAATATATTGGCAAAAGATGATGCAACCCTCTCTCAGGCTTATTCTATGGTGAGTAGTGAGGAAAGCAAAAGGCAAGTACAAGTCTAGGGAGCAGTTCCAGTTGATCACTTTGCTAATGTAGGGGTGAAACCTAAGGCAGCTCAGGAAAGGAAAGATGTTATATGTGAGTATTGCTAAAGACCAAAGTATACAAAGGATAGTTGTTGGAGGTTACACCTAAAACTTTTTGCCAGCTCGGTTCAAGAATGCTAATAACAATAAGAAAGATGGAAATAGAAAGACTAGGAATGCTAATGCAATCATTGTTCTAGACAGTAACAAAGGGTTCTGATGAAAAGATTACTATTGAGCAGTTGGCAGTAGTGAAGACGGGATTTGAGAAGTGCGGGAGGTAGACCTGTTCATGGGCCGGGTGGCCTGACGGCCGGCCTGGCCCCCGGACAGGCTTGAACAGGTATATGGGCCCACGGGCTTAACCTCGGGCCAAAAAGCCCGGCCCGCAATAAATTCGAGTCGGGCATGAGATTTGCCAAAATAGCCCGGCGCGAGCCCGGCCCGGCCCGACCTATAATTAAACCTAAGTAAAAACCCTAGTCGAGTACCCCTCTTTTTTTCACCTCTTTGCCTCTTTCCCTTTCTTTTTTCCAGCCGAACCCTACTCCAATCTCCACATCCTCCACACTCCACAGTTCTCATCCTTACACTCTCAGGCAACCACAACCGGCGAGGCGGCGAACGATCACCGGTCAGGCTCTCTCTCTCTCTCTCTTTCTCAGACGCGAACTGATCATTGTCAAAATCGCAGGTCAGGCTCGCAGCTCACAGACCACAATCACCGACTCACCGTGAACTCTTCGGCGAATACAATCACCGGCGGTGGCAGTGAGTCCTTTTTACCATTTTATTCTATTTCAATGTTGAATTGCCACTCCAGTTCTTTCAGCAGATCATCAATAGCCATTCGGTCTTGATGAATCAACGCCTCCTCCCACCAACTTTCTTTTCTTGTAAACCTTCACTTTATTTATTTAGGACGAACGAGAAGAACTTCAGCAACACAATTAATATCCAACTATGCTACTATTGCAGCTTATGTTGTCACAACTTCTATTAGAATTCTGAGAGTTGGGAACTCGGGTTTCTCCAGTCAAGGAGAACCCAAACAGTTTACAGCCAGTTTTGGATCCATTCATAATTTCATCTTTCCCATCATCTTTTGGGTCTAGATCTTGAGTGGTAGGAGAAGATAAATTTTCTAGAGGGTGGAAACTCCCTCTCTGAAAATTGGTCATGTTTGGGTGCATGATGGGATTATGGCTTGATTTGTACATGTCATTAAATGGCACATACATGGTTCTGATGCCATTTGGAGCAAGCGGGTAGTGATATGGGTTGGGTCCTTGGTACATGTTGTAACCGAGATCATATTTCCCCCAAGCATTAAGGTTGAACTCAGCTCTTTTATATTGAATTTATATTCTTTTTTAATGTAAATAAATTCTGATTTATATTGATTATTGAATTCAGAATTTATATTCTTTTTTTAATGTAAATAAATTTTGATTTATATTGATTATTGAATTTAGAATTTATACTGAATTTATATTCTTTTTTAATGTAAATAAATTCTGATTTATATTGATTATTGAATTTAGAATTTATACTGAATTTATATTCTTTTTTAATGTAAATAAATTCTGATTTATATTGATTATTGAATTTACCCTTTTACTACTGTTGAAGAACCTGGTTTAGATTCTTTATTCAATCTATAAATCCTGAATTTAAAAATGTGAGTAAGCATACTGCTAAAAGAGATATCATGTCTAGTTATGTGAAAGAGAGAG